CACAACCACACAATGGCATCCCTTATGTAATGTATGTATTATTGTAGACGTTATTGAAGAATGTGATGGAAAATGCCTTTTAAAAGTCACTACCATTTCAGTCGACAATTTGGGTGACAATTAAAAGGACGGCTTTTGTGGCCATTAATACCCGGTTTACGGATCAACTCATCTGTGGTTAAGGTGTGGCCGCCTGTGTCCGCACGCATTCAGTCATCAACTGATTGTAGATATTATTTAGTGTTTTATATGCCGTTTGTATAGCAATGGACACCAATTTGTCACATATTATCGCAACCAATATACTTAAATGCGGCCACAAATGTGTTTATGTATGCATTTTATTATTACTTTTATTACTATTATTACTATTAGTTTTAATTTAATTAATACTCTTTTCATGTAATGCAAGAAATGGTGTTTAAATTACATGTTTTATTTGTGTTGTTTTTTGTTGAAATGTCACTTTTGCTGACATTTGTTTTGATGTTTTGATGTTTTTTGCGATCGTTTTGTTTATTCTTTGAGTCCAAACGGATGTACAAAATGTTTGCCATTAAATGACTGACGGATTAGCCATCCATTGAATATCTATAATGCAATGCAATGTCTTCACGGCTTTGGCTTTTATTTATTTGATATTTGTTAACAAATGTGTTGTCAAATGATTGTTAAGTTTAAACCAAATCAATGCCAATCAAACGCTTAAAGTGTCCCAAACTTTGGCACACAATTGCAGAACTGGAGGAATATTGTCATCACATTAACTGATATATATTTGTCATTGTTTTGGTTGATATTTGCAAACCTATTGTTTCCTTGAATTCAAGCGTATAATTAAATATAATTTGTTTTTATTGTTTAATTTAATGACAAAATGTGTTCAAAATTGATTTCAAAGTAATTGGTAAACGAGTTATAAATTAGTGATAAAACACACATTTTATGTATTAATATGTAGTTTAGTGACAATGAATGGCACAATTCACTCACTATCTAACAGTCTATAATTGCTTTTAACACAAGATTATAATCATTGAATAGGTATTTATGATATAAGATAGTTATGTAATGTTACCAACAATTAACACGTTCAATGTACAAGGTACAAAATGCGAAAAAAGTATTACTATTTGTTAATTCTAACCAAATTTTATATGCTTTGAGTGTATTTGTAAATCATTTGAGAATTGAGATCAAAGTGACTGTCAATACGGGCGCTATTGTATAGTATTGTATAATATTGTATAGTATTGTATAAGTTATGAATGAAATGAAAATAGATGTGAATTTTAGATTACATTAGCGTTAAGTCATAAGTTATGAAGTGATAAATAAATTATAAACATTTTCAACGATAAACAAATCGTGTCATTACTTACAAGCCCTAGAAGTGAAAAAAAGTTTATACAAAATCGCTGATAAAAATGTCTCTCAAAATCATATTTCCGTTCAGAAAAATATTGCAATTTTCTTCACTTAAATCGCTGTTGAGTCGAAATGTTAAGCTATTTTCCCTTTGAATTTGAACACAATATAAATATATTGAGAGATTTATTGGGAAAAAATGATTTTGACTAACAATAAATATGTGTTGATTTATATGTAAGAGTACTGTAGTGTTGTATAACAAGAATATAATGAATATATTTTATTCTGGCAGTGCATCAGCTCTGGTTTGGTTCAGGACTGGGTTATAACGAACAGAATATTGGCCTTAATCGAGAATCACAACAGTTATGGGTAATTGTAAACGATTGTTGATTTAAACCACAATTTGTTCCCAAATCAAGTCATGCAATACTAGCGATGCATTCATTCAAATGAATCGTTTTGAATGTTTCCTAACTATCGAAGCGTTTCATTGCCTTTCAGTTGTTTTGTCGCCTTTTATATTATTGACAGCCATTTAGCCATTTATTTCACTCATATTTAAGCACACGTTTCCTATTTGTGTCTTCAGTTTACTTGTCTTCGTAACGTCAACGCCGACCGTTAAGACCGCCTCCGACCTGACCATTGAGAGCGCCCTTCCGGTCAACAGTGACTTCAAGTGTGAAATCGGTAAACAATACTTACAGTAGAACTTAAAGTGAATTTAATTCCATACTTTTCATTAACATAAATGTTTAAATTAATATTTTGTTTACATTTAATGCTTAAAATAAGTGATTAATTGTCTGTTTTAACTAAAATCTTACATTTGTTTTGCTAACACTTTCTGTGGATTCTTTGGGTTTTACACTAATTATTAAA